TCTTAATATATATAATGCTTTGACATTTCATGCATAACCGGGCAATGAGTCTATAAAAAATACTTCACCTAATAAATATTTTATATACATAAACATTTATAATTAAATTTTGTATTTCTAATTAAAAATTTTAATTTTAGAAATCAATAACAATACATACGAATATTATTAAGATATAATGTAATTAATATTTATAATAATTGTAAAAATCATCTTGCAAACTATTTTATTAAAAATACTTAACTTTTAATAGATTAATAACTTTGTCAATCTTTTAATTATATACATTTTGTTATCATTTCATTATTTGTCATTGTTACGATTCAAATATTTTTATAAATTATTGATTTTTTATGATACTGTCAATATATTATTATATTATTTTATTTATATATAAATAATTAATTGAATAATATAAATTATTTATTGATAAAAATAATTTTGCTTAAAATATTACTTTATTCTTGAAAGCCTTATTTAATATAATTTATATTTTTTAAAAATTTAAATATAACTTATTCAGTATTAAATTTAAGTAAAAAAATCAAGAATCTAATTAATTAACTAAATAATAATTAAATTCATATATTAATTTGTTATGATTATAGGTAATATATACATATGTATATATAATAGTAACAGTGTTCTATTCTAATTATGTATATGATATAATTGTAAATATGATTATATATTATACAATAATCATGGATATTATATGAATAAATGATGGTCGTACCGCTTATGTATTTGTATTAAGTTCAATTATGCTTATACTAAGAACGATCAAAATTGTTATTAATAGTAACACAAGAAAGTATCCATACTATAGACTGCCCTCTACATATAAGTAAATAATAACGTTCAGATAAGTTATCCAATACATGTAACAATAGATATATGATCAGAAAGAGAGCCGAATAAAAAAGTAAGGTTATTAATTAACTCAAATTTATTCATCACAACCATAAATTAGAAAACTTTAGTACCACTAATAAAATAGTGTCCTTATAAATTATATAGAATATACTAGATCAGATAAGAAATATGGGCTCTTCTTATATAACAAACTTCAAATAGTATTTACATATCTTGAATGTTTCGTTCTAGAAATATTAACGTCTTTTTTTTAAAATACATATTGAATTTCATAAAAAATGTAATAAAATATAAAAATTTCAAATTAAGATTAAAAAAAATATTCATTAATCAATTTTTTTACGAAATATTCTTTTATATTTTTATCTTAAAATTTTCTTTCTAAATTTTGTATTTTGAACTATAATAATTTACATAATAGTTCTTATGGAAGATTTTCGATTATTATTTAATATTAGTTTTATTTGTTTCTTATCTATTTTTAACTTTGATTTTATCTTTAAAGATATAATCTGTAAAAAAAATAATAATATTTTTAGGCTTAATTTGAATAATTTTATTGAATCATTCATACCATACCAATTTGATATATAAATTCTATTATTACACTCTTAAACTTAATAGTCTGCTTACGATGTAATATGTTATCATTTTTAATTATTAAGGATATTAATTAGTTTTTATACATATTATATTTATTATTAGATTTTTAACAAACAGATTATTTTAGGAATAAAAGCAAATATAATTATGTAGTTGTATGATATAAAAAAGTATAAAAGAACACTTACGACGATCGTATACAGTATGTATATATGTTAAATATATTAAATAATTTTTAATAGTATTAATTTATTAATGAATAGCTGAAGTTAATTTAGAATATTATCCACGATTGGATATCACTGCCTAATGTTCTTTTAATTAAGCATAATAGCACCTGCATTTAAAATTTAGTAGATTTACTATAAAAAATCTTTATTACTTAATTATAATGTAAATACATACAACTGAATTTAACAACATAATATTGAAACAGAAATAGTTGTACTGGATTTTTCACGTATCTAGTCTTCATATTAGAGATCATGTAAAACATTTTTTTGTAATAGAATCATAGAAATTCTAAGTTTTCCACTTTCCTGTCTGTGGTAACATACGGAATCCACTACAATTCAATTGATTTTATCACATTTACTTTTCACTCAAAAACATCAGAAATGCTTATCAAAAATAATAATTGACTAATTTAATTATAAAAGCAGTACTTTTAGAAGAATTATATACTGAAGCTCAAGTATATTAAATATAATTGATGTGTATTATTAAATCATATATGTCATTAGTATTTAAATATATAGTTCGCAAATGTATTACTAATTTATCCAATAATATATTTAAATATTTTATGGATAATTTCTATAGAATATCGTGTGAAAGATTTATATTTATGTTTGTACACAGGTATCAATGATTTAGTACTTTCTTTACATTAAAAGATCTTTTCCAAATATAAAATAAAATAAATATTTATATAATCATTTTTTACATTCTTCTAACTGAAGCCTTTTATAATTAATTTAATAGTTAGAGACGGTCTATTTTATGTCTTTCTTCTGTAAAATCAACTCATGTTACACTGAGGTTACCATATGAGGTTAATTTCGGGAGACTCAATAACAACATAATAAATTAAAATAGCTGATTATATGAATTATCAAGTTAATTATATAATATATTTTTTCATAGTTTTATTATCGATATATAATAATTATTGTTTTTAGAAAAATGTATTTTATAATTTTCTAAATTTTAGTTTTCTATAATTATCATAAAACAATATAATTAACACACAAATAGAAATGATAGTAAATATAAAATATTATTTAAAATAATACCCTTCAATTTTTAAGAGTTAAAATAAGTTACTTTTGGCAAACAGTTTTCTATTAAATTGTATTTTGTCTATGTATATACATTAATATGTGATTATTATTTCAATAATATTATTCTACATTGTATATATAGTATACAATATTATACAATTAAGCAATATACTAAAACAATTTGTATAACAAAATAAGAATTTGATTTGTTATAAATTGTAAATTGTTATCGTTTCAATTATTTTTATTTCCAGATTTATAATTATAATCTATTTATGATATATATATTCACGTTATTCGCGGATGATATTAAATGCATGTTTTCGTTATTGCTTTGGCTGTCCTTTGATTGTGATATTATTCGTTTTATCGCGACGACGGATTACTCCATCGATTGTCTATATGAATAACATATGTGTATTAACGTATATATCGTAAAAAAACACTTAGTTTAAAATTATAGTTTTTATTCGATTTTAATTTTATTTGATCGTTAAATAATACCTTTGATTTTGATATAGTAATATAATATTGTTACTTACATTTGCTTGTAACATTTCTTTATTTATTATTGATGTCTTATTAATATCAATAATTATTATTGATAATTATTAATATTGATATTAATAAAAAATAATATATCAGCTTTTTGCAGCTCATACGATTTAATTGCACTTTATTTTTAAAATTATTTTTTATTTTCTTTTTTCATTAAATTGTAAAATTTAATGTTTTCTGAAGTTAGTATTACATTGATCAAATAAATTTATAATATAATTTATAATATAATATAATATAAATATATGTATACTATTTTACATTGTATTATAAGTTCATCAGTTTAAATTATTAATGTGGTACTTTATGTAAATCTTTTTTTGATTCTTTTAGTTGTAAATTGAATTCCTTTAAAAAAACATTAAACAGAGCTGGTATACAATATACCTACAAATCAGATTCAATTTTACTCACATAAATATCTATATATGAACTTTAATTGTACTAAAACCTTTTTATAATGAAAATTATATAATAAATAAACTTATAATATTATTATTATTATTATTTATTATAATAAACTTATAATAATTTGTAAAATAAATAATCTGATTCTATTAATATTATATAATAATATTACATATATATTGTGTATTAATACAATTAATATAGAAAAATAGTATCCATTTGATTAAATATATGATATATTAAGAGCATGCGTGAATATAAATACAATTAAATCGTTACTTTTCGAAAAAAATGCATTTAGTATTGTTACAAGTTACGAAATATACTAAATATAATACATACAAGATACTACAATAATGTATTGCAGAATGACCAAATAAATTAAAAGTTATTATAATAATAGTACGTTTTAAAACGATAAGAGCATTAATTATTTTAAACGATTTACATTATAGAAGAAAAAATTTATTATAAATTTAATACTACGTTTAATAATCCTTTAATGTGTTATTTTTAAGCACAAGTATAAACAACTATAAATAACCATAAATAATATTAATGTATAAATGAAATTTGAGTAAAATTACATTTTATTTAGTGGTTTTATTTACATTAAAATGTTTCATATCAAGAAACAACAAGATAAATTAATTTCATTATAATTTCATTGTTTTTTGTTTATTTGTTATAAACTAGACTATTATTTAAAAAATTTATTGATTTTTAAAAAACTCGAAACACTTTTAACTATTTTTAAATATAATTACATTTTCGAAAATTTTATTATGAAAAATAAAAAGTATTTTTCACTAATAAAAATTTTCAAATAAAATATTTATTACTTGAATTATTTATTTATTTGAATTATTATTTATTTATTCAATTATTATTTATTATTAAAATATTATTTATTTATTATTAAAATATTATTTATTTATTATTAAAATATTATTTATTTACTTGAAAAATATAACGTTATTAGAGAATATTAAAAAATGGATAACGTATAACGAAAATGTCAATAACTCTTTTTATCTTAGTTGTATAGACTTAGATAATTTTATAATATATACTAGAATGATTCAACAGTTTATCAATTTAAATATTGGTATAGTATATACATTAAGCTATTAATGTGTGGATCTCTATATAATCGTGTTTTGAACAATGACTTTCAGTCAGTTTTGATTGATTAAATTATCAAGTACTATATATAATACAAGAAATATATTTCCTAGATTTTTAAAATCATTTTTGATCTTTATGATTTTATTATGTAATTATGTTTAAATTGTGATGTTTCGAATAATGAATATAATTTCATTAACAGCATTCCTAGTATTTATTCTGATTAATGTGATTTATAGTGAAAGTTATAGAATTTTAGCTATATTCCCTTATAATGGGAAAAGTCATGATATAATGTTCAATGCTCTAATGATGGGTTTGGCAGAAAAAAATCATCAAATCGACGTTATAACACATTTTCCTCCAAAAAATCCACCACCTAATTATAAGGTTATAGTAAATTTAAATGGTAGTTTAGAAAATGTTCAGAATAATTTATCAGTCGATTTTGTTACTACATTATCAAGTAATACAACCAAATTAATTGTTTCAAAATTTGGTAATAGAATATGTCAATTACTTGGTTTGGAAGCAATTCAAACATTGGTTAAAAATCCACCAAATAATCCACCATATGATCTTGTTATCACAGAAGTGAGTAATCTTAAAGCAGATAAATATAGTATGTATCGTCATACATTCTTTTAATATATCTTATCATTATTTAATTCAGCCTATACAAATTTTTCAAATAAAATCATATTTCTAAGATTACTTATGTAATAACCATTGTATAGTATTGGCCTTATTAAATTTATTTAAAACTATAAGAATTTGAAAATTTATAAATATCTAAATGCATTTCTTTGCATGTCTGTGTAAAAAGAATTAAAAATTTTCTTTTTAAACTTTCTATTTTCTAAAGCTTGAATATTTTATACAATATTTTATTTTATAAACATTGTATTTTTGTATATTTAATTTAATAAAATTTCTTTTTTTAAATATATATTGTTTCGCTCTATAATATATCTGATGATATTTAAGAAATTCTTTATATCGAAAATCTTTTATAATTTTAGATTATCGTATCAATATTATGAAATATATTGCTAATTAATTATTATACTTTTAAATTTTTTATTATATTCATACATCTGAGTTTTAATTTTATTACTTATTTTTTTAAATATTAATTTTGTTTAGCTTTCAGATTAAATATAATTAAATATGCTTAATAGTTTTTTATAAAATTTATTCACGTGATTTACTTTAACAAAGATGTTCATCGTATATTAATTCAAAATAATAGCAATAAATTATAAAATTTAATAAAGTTTTATTAGATTTTAGATTTTTTATGAAACAAAAATATCGGAAAATATATACTTAAATACATAATTAATAATACTTCATTGTTTATGTTATTAATTAATAAAAATTATTTCCTAATTTTCAATAATACTTACACTTAGTTTAGTAATTTTTTTAAATTACCATATGTAATATTTATATTTAATTTAAGAAATGTTATATAATAGAAAATTTTATTGAAGACCAATTGGAATTCCAATTGAAAATTAGGCATAACAACAATCTAAAAATATCTATTATATACTTTCAAATGAAAATATTTATTTAAAGTCTTGCAATAAAAAATATAAATATTTCTTATATAACTTTGAAATCATTGAATAAAGCTCGCTTACTCCGATACATTTTTAGATTGAAATCTATCTTTAGGATTTCTAAATCCAACTGAAATCCAATGGAGTATCGTGAAAAATTTTTTTAAATTTCATAATTTCTTAAAACATTATATTATAGAAGTGCTGTTTCGTAAATGAAAATTTATTAAAATTGTGTGAGATTATGAAATCAAAAGTAAAGGAAAATTTGTATTTAAATTATTCAATTTGAATTTCTATATTCACATCGTCTATGTTAATAAATTTTTTAGCTCTCATTTTTATTTGATACGTTAAATTGGAACTAACTCTAATCCTTATTAATTTAAATGCTTAAAAAATTTCATTTTTATTCCAATAATGCATAATATAACTTTAATTATGAGGTTTAATAATTCGTATTATTTTTCTTAATTCTTTATAGTAAACTTCTCGTTAAAATTAAAATTTTTAGTATTTATAGTATCACCAATATTGATTTTTATTTATTAAAATTTTTATTCAATATATTTAGTAAAATAATTTCAAGTGTGAATTTTTAAATTATTACGAGTTTTTAAATTACATTTTACATAAACTTATTTTATAATGATTTAAAATGATAATAGTATTGCTACTTTTTGACTATCCTGATGAGTGAATACTGTTACGCTTTCTCTTATTTCAGTAAAAATAATTAAACATGAATTATGTATATATATATATATATATATATATATATATATATGTACATAAAAATTAAATTCATATAGTACAATAAAAATACAAAATATGAAAATTACATTTCACTAATTAAATAAATAACTATTTTTATTTTATATTTATCTAACCAATTATTTAAGTTCTTCTTCCTTTGTACAATTGTATTACATTTGTGCTCAATGTCTACCTCAATTTGATGCTATTCTATTCTACTAAATTAGTAAATACAATAATTAGAGACATTTGAGTGAGCTAAGATTGTATAATTAATTATTTTATATTGACTATTATTAGAATATTTATACTGTAGTACTATTAAAAACGAGTTCAAAATGATACAAGAAGGTAATCATTTTTACGAATATAGTATTTGATTATTTCCGTTGAGAGATATTTGATCCTTTATATAATTTATTTATAACACACTTTTTTATATATTATTATAAAAAGTATCAGGTCTCATAAAATTTTTTGACATTAGCGTGAATTTCCAAGAATATTAGACACATTTACCGTGCTTACGTAGGTATAGTGTAAAGTATCAAAAGTAATTGCAAAAGCCCCGCTATTTATTTATGCATAGATAAGTTTGGAAATTTTAAAAAAGTGCCTGCACCTCTATAATCTATTAGATTATCATCTAATATGGAATTATAAATATAATGTAAACACAAGATTTCGTTACATGCTGAATGAAAAAAAAAACATAAAAAATGTAAGCGTTTCAAAACTTTATCATTGTTAGAAAATACTGGAATTGTGAATGAAATTTTTATGAATATAAAAATAATAAAAAAATCATTATTCACTTTTTCTGTATTTTGAAAACACTAACAGATTTAATGAATTTAGAGAACTTTAAATTTTTGCTTTCCTTAAATTCAAATTGATATTCACTTCCATGGGTAAATGTAGAATTACTGAACTTCAGAACTGGATTGATTTTTAGTTATTGAATTATTGAAGCATGGTTATAAGTTATATCAATAGTTATAAGCCTTTCAAACCTTCTACTGGATGTTAATAACTTTAGAATAAATACTGATATTTTCTGTATCTATTGAGATATAATAATGTTTATTTTAATTAATAAATATACGTATTAAGCGTTGTTCTATGACATAGATGTGTGCGATGTTAAAATATTAAATTGGCGACAGTCGGAATATAAACATCTGTTAAAATTCGAATCTATACCTCAATATGTATAAAGAAAAGCGTCCCATAAGGTAAATATTAATGATATCTCAAACCAAAATTATAAACGACACTATAAGCCTTAACATATATTTATCATATACTATAATTTTGTAATTTGATTGAAAAAATTACAAAGTCAGTCGTTGTTATTAATATAGTTTTTCAAATGTTACTTTTGATATATCTTCTTTGCATACTATGTTGAATATTAAATAAAATCAACTCAGAAAATATTCCATAGCTATTACAACTTATAAAAGTATAGAAATTATACTTTCCACTTCTTGATAATTTTAAAGTTTATATTGATATCCTGAAATGATTATGCTATTACAGGCATTTGCAGCTAATTGTTATATGGGATTTGGTTATCTTTTAAATGTACCAGTCGTTCTCGTCAGTTCAACGATTGAATATCCATGGATTAATCATTATATTGGAAATATGGATAATCTAGCTATTGTATCATACTCTTTCCTAACAGACTTTGATAAATTAAAATTTTGGGATCGTTTAAAAAATGTTTTTTTTTATCATTATGATTTGTACATATTTCATACAATGACAGAAAAGATTCAAACAGAATTAATGAGAAAATTTTTAAATCCAAATATCCCTAATATACGCGAAGTGGAAAAAAGCGCTGCTTTAATTTTAGTAAATAGACATCCTGTTATATATAATGCAAAGCCAGTAACTTCATCATTAATAGAAGTTAGTGGCTTACATATAAAAAAAAATAATACAAAACTATTTCCAGTAAGTATAAATTTATTGATATCAGAAATAAAAATAAATAATAATTAAAACATGTAAGAATTAATTGTTAAAATTTTCATAATCATTAAAAATACTTCTAATTATTTAATAGGAATTGCAAACTTGGTTAGATGAAGGAATTAACGGAGTAATTTATTTTACATTTGGATCAATGGTACTTATCGAAACATTGCCAATAAATATTATAACGGATTTTTATAAATCATTTTCTAAACTAACATCTATTCGAATATTAATGAAAATTAATGATAAAAGTAAATTACCAGAAGGTTTACCAAAAAATGTTTTATCATATCCATGGATACCGCAACAAGCTGTATTGGGTATTGATTTAATTTTTTTATTGAAATTATATTATTGTGATATTTACAATATATTTCGTATTATCCGTTATTAATCTTTTTCACAAAGTAGATGAAAAAAATATATATTTTAAAAATGTTAGATACTTATATTAAAACATATCTATTCATTTTAGCTCATAAAAATGTTCGTGTTTTCATAACTCATGGTGGATTAATGGGTTGTCAAGAAGCATTATTTTATGGTGTACCAATGATTGGTATTCCTTTATTTGCTGATCAGTTATCAAATATATTAAAATTCGTTGCAAAAAATATGGCAATTAAGATTAATTATAACAATCTTACAATGATATCTATAGATGAAGCCTTATATTCAGTCTTAAATAATCCAATTTATAGGTATGAATAGTTTTAAAGTAGTTTTATATTTTTATTTTCATATTATATTCATTATATTATATTTCATTTATATTTTCATTTACAGAGATAATGCTAAATTGTATTCTAAAATATTTAATGATCGACCAATGAATTCTATGGATACAGCTATATTTTGGATTGAATACATAATTAGAAATGGTCCGAATATTTTGAAATCACCAGCCTTAAAACTATACTGGTGGCAACTTGCCTTACTTGACGTATATGGATTTATATTGTTTAGTTTAGTTTTTATTGTATTTTTTATATTCTGTATTATAAAAATTTTATTAGCACAACTATACAGCTTGAAAAAAGAAAAAATACAGTAACTGTAATCTAAAAATTATAATCTAGAATGGAATGATATTTTTATATAGAATTTTTACTTTTTTTCGAAATACTTTAACAATATATATCCATGAATATATATATACAATATATATTCAAAATTTTGTGTACATTAAAATATTAGTATTAATATTTTATTAATACATCCAAATGTTAAACCTCCATTCATTATATATTTCTTTTAGTATTTTAAAACCTCAATATAATTTCAAAAAAAAGTTGTCTCAGTAGTTTTAAACTATTGAATTGTAATTTTTTAAATTATCTATGTATGATGTTCGAATAGATTATACATTGAAAAGTAACTTCATTATCATGTAAATTATCATCAATTAGTATAAAAATTAAAATTTTAATATTAATTAAGATTTTGATTAATTTATCTTAAGAATGTATAAATGTAACAAAATAAAAAAATTTACCCGTATAATTCAAAGAACAATTTGGTTTTATAATAATAATGTATAAGCTATATATTAAATCTGAAAACTAATCATCGATGAATTATATTGAATCTGACTAATCAAGTAAGAGAAAATCGAGGTGCTGCTGAATATAATATTCAAAACTAATATATAACACAACATGCTGTGTTATTTTCAATAAGATATAGAGACTTGGTTTTTAATGAATAATTGAAGTCAAATTCAAATAAAATTCTGCCTATAATAAGAATTTTATTGAATTAATTGTCAAATTTACATAATATATATGCGCTACAGTTTCTGTGTATTGTAAGAATATAGAAATAAAAAATAAAAAATAAATCGGAATAATATCAATTAATATTAAAATATATATTTATCTATTTAATTTATATATTTAATTCATACACATACATTGATTAATGCATAAATGATACTTTCTGTTGAATAAATATAATTTATTAAATTTATTAATTTATTAATATAATTTATAAAATATTGGTTAAACAAATAATCATATTATTTTTTTAATAAATTTTGTTTATTAACTTTCTAAACAATAAAATAATTATTACATTATTAAATTTTTATAATATAATTTTTTTAAAGAGAAAACGATATCACTGATTTTAATCATTTTAATTTAACAGAATATTTTTTATTGGATAATCATAGAGATTTATATAAGTTTA